CACCACCTGGCCCTGCAGCACAGCAGCTTGGGTGCACAGCAGCAGGCAGGTGGCCACTGAGCCCACAGAAAGCAGTAGGCACAGTGCATTCACTGCTTGGGCCCTAGTCAATGGCGCGGTACATCCCCTACTGCCGCTGTCTGCCCAGCCGTTCTTCTGCACATCACTGCTGCATTCACCCAAGCTCACGGCCCAAGTTTGTTTGTTTTTTTATCCCTGCTACTCATTCTTCCTGAAATACCTTATTTTCCTATCTTTATTTAATCAAATCCTAACCAGTCTAAATCCAGCTCAAGTCTGGTCTCCAGAGAGCTCTTCTAGACCATTCTCTCCCACTCTCTTCCGACCTCATTGCCTTTTCAACATCACTCATTGATGTATCATCTCTTGTACTGCTACTTTCGCTGTCTTTTTTTTTTTTAACTTTATGTTACTTATAACTTCATTTTTCATGGTCTCCTCAACTGAACTATAAAATCTTTGAGAGCAGGAGCCACACATTAGAACTCAGCATGATCTTTTGCACATAGTTGATATTTAAATATTTACTGCTTGGCTAGAATGCCTCAGGCATAAGAGAAAAATTCACATTCCTACTTCAACATGAATGGCAGTTAGCACAATCTGACTGACTACCTTCAATATTAAAATGGAAGACATTTCTGAACACTCAAGATGAACCAAACTATTGGCATAAATTTTACCCCTAAAGAAGATAATTATATCGCGAAAAGACATTCTTAACAACAATAAAACCAAAAAATAAAATTAAAAAACCTAAACCCACTGCCATCAAGTCGATTTTGACTCATAGCGACGCCATGGACAGAGCAGAACTCCCCCACAGAGTTTCCAAGGTGGATTTGAACTGCCAACCTTTTGGTTAGCAGCTGTAGCTCTTAACCACTATGTCACCAGGGTTTCCTTAGTAACAACAGAATTGTACAAATAAACTGTTAGAATTTAAGCAGGTGCTTATTACAACCAGCTATACTAATTAACAAGAAATAAAGTTTGTACTTTAGTCAACAATGTATTTAACAAATTATTCATTGAGTTCCTAATCTGTACAAGGAGCTTCACTAGGAACCACTGGGGAACCGTGATGAATAAGATTGGCCTAGTCCTCAGCAGCCAACACTTTAATGGAGGATAAACACTTGAAAAACTTTTTACAAAACAAATATTAAACAGGCGATACAATATAGCTAACGTACTAAGAGTCTCTGGGTAGTGCCAACAGTTAAGTGCTCAACTACTAGCCGAAAGGCTGGCAGTTTACCCACTTGGAGGTGCCTCAGAGGACAGGTTTGGTGATCTGTTTCTGAAAGGTCACAGTGAAAACCCTGTGGAGCACAGTTCTACCCTGACACACTTGATGGCAACTAACAACAACAACAATGTACTGAGTACTGTGTTGTCAGTTTCAATTGGCAGGGCTCAGGAACCATAAGTCCAAAAAAACAGAAAGAAAAATGGAAAAGATAACATTTGAAGCAGGCTATGAAAGATAATTAGGATTCTGATAGTCCAAAGATGGCAGAAGGGGGTTCTGGGCCATACAATTAGAAAGAGCAAATGGCAGAGGTATAAAAATATTCCCTCACCCCATCTTTAGCTTCTCTTAGTAGGTGATCTTACTTGCTTTCATAGAAAAAAAATAAAAGGCCATTCCACTCCTACATCTCAAAATTTAACTATGTTTTTGTCTTTCCTTCTTATTTCAAATGAAATGAAGCATCCCTACTTCTTTTTCAAAGCTAAACTCTCCAAATTGTCTGGACCTTCTTACTGCTCGTCTCCTACTGGATCATGTTCGAGCTTTCTCTCTCTCTCTCTCTCTCTGTTTCCCTTTGTGGCCAAATTTTTTACAGGACCATCTAGGCTTATTTTCTGTACTTCATCTCCAGTTTACTCCTCAGTTACATAAGGTTAACTTTCTCTTGAACCTTTCATGTATTTTAATACATTTTAAAACATGTATTCTTTCTAAAATAAACTGAAATAAAAATCTACCTTCTGATTTCATTCTTTGTTTTAAAATAAGCTAACCAGTATTTCTTCCTAAAATTTACTTACTAAGAGAATAGGGAAGGGTTAGTCTCTAAATCAGATTTACCATCTCTAGAAAGTAAACTCCCACAGAACAGAGACTCTGTACACATGTTCTCTGTGAAGACTCTACTATTGTAGTGACCACAGAGAATTCTGATCCTTAGACAATGGCTGAATGCCATTCTTTCAATGTATCTTTCCCTAACTTAGAGCTCTTTATAATTCTTCAGATGAGAAAAAGTAGGGTACTCAACCCATTTTCTTCAGCAACATAAAGGAGGCATTTTTTTTTTTTTTTTTTATTGTACTTCAGG